ATCACGGATCGCCAGGTTTGCAGCGAAGCACGCCAACTACTACACTACCGCTCCCCACGCACAGTCTCCACTGCACACACTTACTTCCCCCTTCTCCGCACACACTCACTCTCTCCGCACAGACTCACTCCCCGCTTGCTCTTCCTACTACACACACACACTCACCCTCTCCACTCCTCACACCCACACACACACGACCACTTTCCCTCCACACTCTCCTCGGTAGAAAAACCAAGACTCCCCGTATAGCCTTTCAAAGACTGTTAGGGCAAGTGCTGTTAGCGAGCACCTATGAAGGAACGCACACACGCACACCCTCCTCCTCACACCACACACCCTGCCCATACACTCCCCCGCACTCTCCCCACACACACACACCCACCCCTCCTCCCCACACACACACACCCTTCCCCACTCCCCCATACACACACTCTCCCAACTCTCTCCCCCCACCACCACCGCTCCCCACGTGACCAGGCGCCAACACAGACGCGAGCTTTGTCCTCCCTCTCCCTTCAACCCTTCAACCCCCCCCCCTCGTCTTGGCCGTAGCTCTCCCACTGCTCTCGCTGATTTTCCTCTCTCCCTGCTCTCTCTCCCCCCTCCTCCTCCTCCCTCCCCGTGCACTCTCTCTCCGCTCTCACGGTGGAGCACGTCACTCATTCTGAATCAGAGCCGGGGGGCCCAGGGAGGGAGGAGAGAGCGGGGGATGAGAGAGAGGTTCTCTTATGAGGTTCGGCCACTCTCCTCCTCCACCCACACACGCGAATACATTCACACACAGATACACAACAACAACAACTACTGCAGATTGCCACTCAGTGGCGGTGACGTCACCGCGGCTGTTGTGCCAAGCTAGGTGCACATCGAGGTGCGCACAGACACACAAAGATCGCCCTTATAGCCCAAACAAACGTTTAGAGCAAGTGCTGGGAGCGAGCACCTATTAGTACTGGAACGGTAAACGTGGGGGTGGGTGGTAAGCACCATGCCTGACCGCCTTTGTCTCCCCAGTGGCGATGTTTACACACCGCACCAGGTACTCATTTGAGGCCGAGTCTACCTAGGGGAGGCCGAAGATCGGTTCGTAGCGCAGCGCGCTAACCACCACATTACCGCTCCCCACACAGATAAATACACACATACATAGTTACACACACACGCACATTTAGAAATACGCACACAATCACAAGGACACAGGCGTTCACAAACGATACAGAATCACGTATCCCCCCTCACCGCCCCACAATCCCATCCCCCCCGCCCCCACACCACGTATCCCCAACCATCCCTTTCCACCCCCCACACCACGTATCCCATCATCCCCCCCCCCATATTGGCCCGGGGTCCAAGAAGCAACGACACGAGGCGTTTGCGAACCGACCCCTGTTGAGGGCCCCACGACAGCCTCTTCCCCCCTCCTCCCCCCCCCCCCATGCCTTTCCCTTCTCCCCCCCCCTACATCCCTCCTCCTCCTACTCCTACCCATGCCTCCCCTCCTATCCCCCATCCCGTCTCCCCGCTCTCTCCCAGCCCCACTCCACTCGCTCCCACATCCGTTTACTACTTCCATGCACCCCCCCCCCCCAAAACCCCGCATCTCCATCATCATCCAATGCCGTCACCCATCGTGGATGCACACGGCTCGTCAGTCGGCAATGGCTCACAGTCCACACTGCTCCAGTCTCAATAAGTATTATAATTAAAAAATATATATTCCAAAGTCAGTGAAATCCTGATCAAATGAGCATTGAGGCACCGACGCTCATCTCGCTCCTCTTTACAGCCCTGAGCCAGTGCTGGAAATTCCATATTCCCATGGCGGAGGCGAGTCGACCCAGAGGACACAACAACAGCTTTTGACTTCCCCACACAGTGAGTGCTGCGCGTTTCGTAGACTCTGTAGGGATCATGGGATGGAGTCAACCTCCTCCCCACTCCGGCCCCAAACCGGGATTTGAACCCACGACACGTTCCCATTGCGAGCTGCTTGCTCCACCGCTGGTTCACTTAGGCGGGTACAATCATAACAGGGTCCTTCATCTACCCGGAAAAGTCTCACGGAGTCTCAAGACTCATTTTCAGGAGAGTGCTGCTGCAGAAGTGCTGTTTCGTACACTTGATTTGGAATAAATCCAACGCAAGTTTTATGAGGTGGTGACGCTTGTGGACCCGCACAGATGGATTCAGTAATCCACTGTTGCACTGACATTTCCTGGACAACTCCCAGTCCAATCCTACAACACCTGGTAAACCCCAGGCAGTCTCTCAGCCAATTACGAAGCAGGCTCAAACCTGCTTAGCTTCGAAGATCGTGTCCACTCGCAAAGACACGCAACACGAGGCCAACAACAAGAACACCATCATCCCCAACAACCACCTCCATCACTATCACCATCACATCACCACCACTACCATCACACAAACTAAAATCATCACGATTTGAAGCTTTCGCGAATGCAGGAATCCATACTCGTTGGTTCGTTCGGTAAAGTCACGTAGGTAGAAAATAATACTAGATCACAACGTTTCGATCGCCACATAAGCAACCATCTTCAGGTGGTCTCCCACGATGATCTATTATTTTTATTCTTCTACCTACGTGACTTTACCGAAAGAACCAAAGAGTATAAAATCATCACCTCCACCAACTACCACCTCCATCACTACCATCATTATTGTCACCACCACCTCCCTCACCCACCTCCAACATTCATCTTCACCCCCCAACGTCACGACCATCACCACGACTACGTGTGTAAATCACATGCGAATGAATATATTTACATTCGTAAATGTTATGTTTAAACAAATTATTTGGTGAAGCTGCTGCTGCTGCATTGACAGCGCCGCACAAACATGAATAACAACACAACTCACATTCACCAATAATACTGTGGCGTTAGACAGGAAATATATACATTACTTAATATAATAGCCGACGTTTCAGGCAATGCCCCCTCTTCAACGGCCATTCTTTATACGACGATGGAGCATTGCCCGTCATATTTTTTTATTTTAAGGCCACACACAGCAGCAGCAGCATCATCAGTTGTTATTGAATGGTAGGTGTTGGCCAATGTAGCATGTTGAATGGAACTAACGAGACCAGAAGACAACAACAACAACTAACAAGACTTGAGATCACAACTAAACGAAGCCAAACAAACGGCTCATCGCATGGTGCAGCGCCCGCAACACGCTGGCTCATAACGACGAATCGCATCGCATCGCGTGCGGAACGAGTAGCCACGCGTGCATCACACATGCCTAGTGGGAGCGTCAGCATGGGGACGAAGGGGGGGGGCGAGGTGGAGGGGGGGGGGCTCCTCCCCCCCCACCCAACCCCTCGCTCCCCCGCCCCTCGTGCACTCGCCCCCCTCCCTCACCCCGCCCCCCGGCATGCGAGACTCGAAGAGAACATTAGTTTCCGTGGTGACCAGGCAGCTCGTCTGTGTTTTGTCTGAAAGGGAAGGACGCGCGTGCGGGATGTGGGCGGTGGGATGGGCGGGCGGGGGAGGGGGGGAAGGGGGGAGGGGGTGGGGAGGGGGGGCTATGGGGGGAGGAAGAGGGGGGGGGGGCACCGTCACGCATTCGTGATGTAGGCGCACACACACACACATGGACACACACACACATGGAACCACACACACACATACACCCACACACACACACGGACACACACATGGTCCCACACACATGGACACACACACACATGTACCCACACACACACACGGACACACACATGGTCCCACACACATGGACACACACACACATGTACCCACACACACACACGGACACACACATGGTCCCACACACATGGACACACACACACATGTACCCACACACACACATACACCCACACACACACACGGACACACACATGGTCCCACACACATGGACACACACACACATGTACCCACACACACACATACACCCACACACACACACGGACACACACATGGTCCCACACACATGGACACACACACACATGTACCCACACACACACATACACCCACACACACACACGGACACACACATGGTCCCACACACATGGACACACACACACACATGTACCCACACACACACATACACCCACACACACACACGGACACACACATGGTCCCACACACATGGACACACACACACATGTACCCACACACACACATACACCCACACACACACACGGACACACACATGGTCCCACACACATGGAAACACACACACATGTACCCACACACACACATACACCCACACACACACACGGACACACACATGGTCCCACACACATGGACACACACACACATGTACCCACACACACACATACACCCACACACACACACGGACACACACATGGTCCCACACACATGGACACACACACACATGTACCCACACACACACATACACACACACACACGGACACACACATGGTCCCACACACATGGACACACACACACATGTACCCACACACACACATACACCCACACACACACACGGACACACACATGGTCCCACACACATGGACACACACACACATGTACCCACACACACACATACACCCACACACACACACGGACACACACATGGTCCCACACACATGGACACACACACACATGTACCCACACACACACACACATGGACCCACACACACGATTCGACACAATATATACACATTGTACCATATACAATCATAACACATACACTTAAAACAGAGATATTACACATCACACTATTACTGCCTGGACATTCATGTGCGCGTTGTTAATAACCAATAATATTTTTTAAACAAAAAAAAACACTTTATCACACGAGCACAATTATACAAAGATCCCCCCGTATGGCCTTAACAGATTGTTCGAACATGAGCCTTTTTTTTAGCGAGCACCTATATGAAATGTCGGCACGGCACACGAGGTGTGTGTCGTTAGCCCAGCACCACGCCCGGCTGCCTTTGTCTCCCCAGTGGCGATGTTTACACACTGCACCAGGTACGCATCTGAGGCAGAGGCGATCTACACAGGTATATATACACCCACACACTAAAATATCATTACTCAGTGACGGTGAGGTCACCGCAACGCTTGCGCCAGGCTGTGTGCACACTTTCACAGACAGATGCTTTACAAAAACTAAGATGCCCCGTATAGCCTCAAGATATTGTTGGGACAAGTGCTGTTGGCAAGTCGCACCTATGAAGGCACGGCACACGAAGGGGTGGATCGCCAGCAACACGCCCGGCCGCCTTTGTCTCCCCAATGGCGATGTTTACACACAGCACCCGGTACACACACGCTCATATAGTCACACACTCATCTACACGAGTGCGTGCACGCACACACATTCACGCACTTTTACGCAAAATACCTGCGTTCGTACTCACATTCGCACCCACACACCAACTCCAACACACACTAACACCAGCACACACATCAACGTATACAAGATACGAAAACAGTACACCTGTACATACATAGCACACCAACGCTAATCCAATCACAACCAAGACAATCAGAATCCAGACACAAATCAAGATACAATTACAACCCAGACAATCCAAACACAATCACCACTGACACAAAGCCAGACAAAAACACAACCAGGACGCAACATTAGACACATGCCCAACCCAGAACCCAGACACTCACTCTCAGCACCCAGACACTCAGCCCCCACACACTCAGTACCCAGACAGTCACCACCCAGACACTCACCACCCAGACACTCACCACCCAGACACTCAGCCCCCACACACTCAGCACCCAGACACTCACTCACCACCCAGACACTCGCTCTCACCACCCAGACACTCACCACCCAGACACTCACCACCCAGACACTCTCTCTCAGCACCCAGACACTCAGCCCCCACACACTCACCACCCAGACACTCGCTCTCACCACCCAGACACTCACCACCCAGACACTCACTCTCACCACCCAGACACTCTCTCACACCAAACAGACACTCACCACCCAGACACTCACTCTCACCACCCAGACACTCACTCTCACCACCCAGACACTCACTCTCACCACCCAGACACTCTCTCTCACCACCCAGACACTCACCACCCAGACACTCTCTCTCACCACCCAGACACTCACCACCCAGACACTCTCTCTCACCACCCAGACACTCACTCTCACCACCCAGACACTCACCACTCAGACACTCACCACCCAGACACTCACTCTCACCACCCAGACACTCACTCTCACCACCCAGACACTCACCACCCAGACACTCACTCTCACCACCCAGACACTCACTCTCACCACCTAGACACTCTTTCTCTCACAACCCAGACACTCACCACCCAGACACTCTCTCTCACCACCCAGACACTCACCACCCAGACACTCTCTCTCACCACCCAGACACTCACCACCCAGACACTCTCTCTCTCACCACCCAGACACTCACTCTCACCACCCAGACACTCACTCTCACCACCCAGACACTCTCTCTCTCACCACCCAGACACTCTCTCTCTCACCACCCAGACACTCTCTCTCTCACCACCCAGACACTCTCTCTCTCACCACCCAGACATTCTCTCTCTCACCACCCAGACACTCTCTCTCACCACCCAGACACTCACCACCCAGACACTCACAACCCAGACACTCACAACCTAGACACTCACAACCTAGACACTCACTCACCACCCAGACACTCACCACCCAGACACTCACCACCCAGACACTCACTCACTCTCACCACCCAGACACCCTCTCTCACCACCCAGACACCCTCTCTCACCACCCAGACTCTCTCTCTCACCACCCAGACACTCTCTCTCACCACCCAGACACTCTCTCTCACCACCCAGACACTCTCTCTCACCACCCAGACACTCTCTCTCACCACCCAGACACTCTCTCTCACCACCCAGACACTCTCTCTCACCACCCAGACACTCTCTCTCACCACCCAGACACTCACTCTCACCACCCAGACACTCTCTCAACACCCAGACACTCTCTCTCACCACCCAGACACTCACTCTCACCACCCAGACACTATTTCTCTCACCACCCAGACACTCACTCTCACCACCCAGACACTCACTCTCACCACCCAGACACTCTCACCATCCAGACACTCACTCTCACCACCCAGACACAAACACAACCCAGACAACACAACCCGGGCAACCCATCACCTCTCCCCCCCCACTGCCCAAACTGGAAGTCACCAAAGCCGACGCTAAAATTAGCTTAACCTTAGGCTCACATAGCCCGCTCAGAGACGGCGCAAGTCTAGCTCGTAGTTCCCCCGGCCGGCCCCCCCTCTAGCGAAGCCCACATTGGCACATTCCATTCCCTATTGCCAGATATGGGGCGTCTATCGGCGCCGCGTTCCGGGGGGAGACGCGGAGAGAGGGCCCCAGCCAATGCTGACGGGGTCGATTTGTAGAGACGGAGGCAGTGGGGGGTAGCGGGGTGACCAACAACAACAACCACGGGCACGGGTTCACGGTGCAAGGGTTCACGAGGCAATAGTTTCACGGGGGAAGGGTTCAGCGGGGCAAGGGTTCCATGGGTTGCAGTTCATGCCACGGGGTTTCAGGGGCTGGGGTTTCACGGGGAAATGGTTCATGGGAGGAGGGTTCACGGGCAGGTGTTCACACACGGGTTCGTAGGTCAGGGGTTAATGTAAAAGCCCCGCACACACCTCAATGTGTGATACCCAGTTTTACACACACACACTTACATTGACTAACACCATACGCAAAGACAAATATCCCCCATAAAGCATTTAACTGACTGGTCAAGTGCTGTACGCGAGCACCTATTACGGCTATATAACCAGGCCCAGTCACTCCTGTCTCGCCAAAGATGATTCTTTTACACCGGACCACGTACTCGTTTAAGGCCGAGTAGACATAGGGGAGGGCCTACAAACGGTTTAGATAATCACCATGGAACTTAGCCGTGGTCGAGATTCGAACTCGCCGTACGTAATATACATACACACAATCTTCGCACGCAAACTCGACTACGTACAATCCCTACAGATACACACACACAGGATAATATACAAGTATAACCACACGCCCCCAGTCACGCACACCCCCTATACAAGTGTGTGTGTGTATGGAAGGGCGTGTGTATGCGGGATACGATGTGGGTGATGACGCGAATATGAATGTGTTCCACACCAGGGAATACATAAGGGTTACGGGTGTGTGTGTGTGCGATACACAGGAGGGAGTGTGTGTGTGTGATGCAGGGGGAAGTGTGTGTGTGCTACACAGGGGGAAGTGTGTGTGGCTAAGGGATTAGGTGTGTGTGTGTGTGATGCACGGGGGAGAAGGTGTGTGTTCTACACAGCGGGGAGTGTGTGGCACAGGGATTAGGTGTGTGGGTTTGTGTGGGCGCTGCACGTGGTGTTGGTGTGTGCTTGACACAGAGAGGCTGTGTTCTACACAGAGGTGTGTGTGATGCATGGGGGAGAAG